CAGGTAGCTGCGTCAGGTCAGGTGTTTGCTGCATCGTCGAGGTCTGGTCCTGAGTCTACTCCCTGCTCGTGTCGTCTCCTGTCCCACCAGACTCTCCTCTGGCACCACCGCCTTGGTCACCACTCCCTGCCTCATCTTCGAGGCATGGCCTCCCGTTACCTTGTCTTTGGTCTCCCCCGGTCCCTCCCTCCCCTCCCTCTGGGGCCTACCCCTACCTGCGTTCCCTGCGTCGAGGGGCGGCAGCGCGCCGCCCCTCACGCCTCCGAGTTTCCTCCGATAGAGGCTCCGCTGCAGACTCTTCACATGGACGTGTGGGGCCCCCGCCCGCGTCCGTGGCCAGGGTCACGAGCGTTACTTCCTGTTGGTGGTTGACAACTACTCATGTTACATCACGGTGTTCCCCTTGCGCAGCAAGGGTGACGTCACTGAGGTGTTGATCGACTGGATCCGCACGGCTCGTCTCCAGCTCAGAGAGAGTTTCGGCTCGGACTTTCCTGTTCTGCGTCTGCACTCTGACAGAGGCGGGGAGTTTTCCTCTGCGCGTTTGGGAGCCTTTTGTCGTGCACAGGGCATCCGCCAGACCTTCACGCTTCCAGCCTCTCCACAGCAAAATGGGATTGCTGAGCGCCGCATCGACATGGTCATGGACGTCGCTCGTACGTCCATGATCCATGCGGCTGCTCCCCATTTTCTGTGTCGTTTGCGGTTCAGTACGCAGCGCATCAAATCAACCTTCAGCCCCGAGTCTCCTTGCCAGAGACCTCCCACACCTTGCGGTGGACCGGGAAGGTTGGCGATGCGTCTGCGTTTCGTGTCTGGGGATCTCGGGCGTTTGTCCGTGACTTGTCTCCGGACAAGCTGTCCCCCCGTGCTGTTCCCTGCGTCTTCCTTGGCTTCCCCCCTGACGCGCCTGGTTGGCAGTTTTACCACCCCACCTCGCGCCGTGTTCTGTCCTCCCAGGATATCACCTTTGACGAGTCGGTGCCTTACTAACGTCTCTTCCCCTACCGCACTGTGCCCCTCCCCCAGCCGCCGCTCGTCCTTGCGCCAAGTCCCCCCCCAGTAGACCCCCTCCCCCCTTAGGGTCCTGCCCCATCAGGAGTGTCCCAGGTAGATGCAGTCGAGCCTGTCGAGGTAGCTGTTGACTCTGGTGCTGCTAGGGGTGCTGAGCCTGGGGGTGCTGAATCTGGGGGTGCTGAGTCTGGGGGTGCTGAGCCTGGGGGTACGGAGCCTGGGGGTGCGGAGCCTTGGGGTGCGGAGCCTGAAGGTACGGAGCCTGGGGGTACTGAGCCTGGGGGTGCGGAGCCTGGAGGTGCTGGGTCTGCTCGTGTGGCCTCTGGCGGTGCTGGGCTTAGGGCCCCTTCGGGTGCTTCATCGAGGCGGGAGCTACACTCTCCACATGAGCTGCGCGAGTGGTTAGCCCGGCGCTGGAGCCGTGCTGCTGGAGCTGGAGGTGCTGCTGTTAGTGCTGACCCTGGGGTCTGCACTGGAGTTACTGGAGCCACTAGTCCTGGAGGTGCTCGTATTGGCAGTACTGGAGGTGCTGGGACAGGGGGTGCTGCTGGGTCTGCTGGAGTTGGTCCTGCTGTTGGAGCTGCTGGAGCTGTTGCTGCTAGAGCTGCTGGAGCTGCTGGAGTTGGTGCTGCTGGAGCTGGAGCTGCTGGGGGTGTTGGCGCTGGTGGTGCTGCTGGCGCTGGTGCTTCTGAGGGTGCTGGAGTTGGCGCTGTTGGAGCTGGAGGTGCTGCTGGGGCTGGTGCTGCCGCTGGGGGTGCTGGTGCTGTCCCTGCTGGTTCTGGGGGCGCTGCGCGGCCGCGGCCGTACTTCGTTCCGCTCCTTGAGCAGATTCTTGGTCTCCCGCCATCTACTGGTCCTGCTCCTCCCTTAGAGTGTCCACAGCCTGTCTAGTCGCAGTCACAATTATAGCCCGCCTCCCCCTTACCTGCTCTTTCTCCCTACACTGGTCCTACTGGAGGTCTTGCTGAGCGTCGTGAGCCTGCGTCTCGTCCTGCGTCACCTCTTTGTGCTGCTCGCACTAGTAGTCGTGCTCCGCCTCCGCGTCCTCCTGCGGTCCCAGGCACACACCAGATGGCTTTTCGTCCTTCCACTGCTCCTCTGCGTGTCCCGTTGCCGTCTCCTCCAGAGTCCTCTCTTCCTGTTCTTGCTGACCCGGAGTCTGACTCTCTTCGTGCTGCCAGTCCTACTGTCGCGCATCTTCTGGCTACTGATGTCACTAACCCTTCCTTTGAGTCCACTGCTGCGTGTGCCTTAGTTGCTGAGCTTGTCGACTTTGCTGCTCGCTGTCGTCTCAACTTCGCCGCTAGTCTTGTTGCTTAGTCTCAGTCTGTGTGTCCTCCGTCCGTCGGGGGTGAGTGTGCTCTTAGCACGGACGTCCTTGAGGATAGGTAGGAGGAGTTCTAGTGTTTTTCTGCTGCTTTGCCTCATCTCGTGTCCACGCTGATTGCCCCTTAGGGAGACCCGAATGCACCAGACATCCCGACTTCTCGATCGTACGCTAAGGCGATCGAGGGTCCCTACTCCTCTCAGTGGCAGTCAGCCATGGACGCAGAGATGGCTTCCTGGAAGTCCACAGGCACCTACGTCGATGAGGTTCCCCCATCTGGGCCGAACATCGTCAGTGGCATGTGGATTTTCAGGGTGAAGCGGCCGTCGGGTTCTCCGCCAGTCTTCAAGGCGCGTTACGTGGCTCGAGGCTTCAGTTAGCGGCAGGGAGTTGACTACTTTCAGACCTTCTCTCCCACCCCGAAGATGACCACTCTTCGGGTGCTGCTGCACATAGCCGCTCAGCACAACTACGAGCTTCACTCTCTTGACTTCAGCACAGCTTTCCTGCAGGGCAGCCTGCACGAGGAGATCTGGCTGCGCCGCCCACCTGGCTTCACTGGGTCGTTTACCCCTGGTACCTAGTGGAGCCTCCGGCGGCCAGTCTACGGTCTCCGCCAGGCGCCCCGTGAGTGGCACGACACACTGAGGACTACGCTTGCGGCTCTTGGGTTTGCTCCTTCTACTGCCGACCCGTCGCTGTTTCTTTGCACCGACACCTCTTTGCCGCCGTTCTACATCCTCGTGTATGTCGACGACTTGGTCTTTGCCACTGTTGACACTGCTGGACTCGCCCACGTGAAGTCCGAGCTGCAGAAGAGACACACGTGCACAGACCTGGGTGAATTGCGCAGCTACCTTGGCTTGCAGATCACCCGGGACGGAGCACAGTGCACCATTACCCTGACTCAGTCACACATGGTGCAGCAGGTCCTTCAGCGCTTCGACTTTATGTACTCCTCGCCTCAGGCCACTCCTCTGTCTACTCGCCACTCGCTCTCAGCTCTGCCTTCGGATGAGTCCGTAGAGCCGAGTGGCCCGTACCCAAAGCTTGTTGGTTGTCTCATGTACCTGATGACCTGCACACGACCTGACCTTGCATACCCTCTTAGCATCTTGGCACGCTATGTTGCTCCTGGGAGACACCGACCAGAGCACATGGCTGCAGCGAAGAGGGTGTTGCGCTACATGTGCAGTATGTCGGGCATGGGGCTAGTGCTTGGAGGGCGACGTTCAGTGGTCCTTACAGGTCACGTAGACGCTTCTTGGGCTGACGACCAGGCTACGCAGCGGTTGTCACAGGGTTACACCTTCAGCCTTGGCTCCGGCTCTGTTTCGTGGCGGTCTACCCGCTCGTCTTCTGTTCTCGGCTCTAGTTGTGAGGCTGAGATCTACGCGGGGGCCATGGCTGCACAGGAGCTACGCTGGCTCACCTACCTGCTGACTGACCTAGTTGAGCTGCCTCGTTCTCCTCCAGTTCTGTACGTAGACAACAAGGCCATGTTGGCCTTGTGTTGGGAGCACAGACTGGAGCACAGAACGAAGCACATTGCTCTTCGCTACTTCCTTGCTCGTGAGCTGCAGCAGCGTTGTCAGCTGCGCCTTGCTTACGTGGCCTCTGAGGCCAACACTGCTGATATCTTTACCAAGGCACTCCCGCCTGGTGATCATCAGCACTTCTATACGATGTTAGGTCTTGTGCCTACTTGGCCTCACTTGCTCACTTCTTGACCTTGCTTGTACTGCGATCTTTCTATACCTGCACTTGCTTGTTTACCTTTATATGTGATCTTGCATGTGAACTGCCCTTGTGGCCTTGAACTTGTGCTCGGAATGTGTGGTGACGTTGTGATCCACCCTGAGCTTGCTTTGCTTTGCTTGACTGGTCTTGTGACCTCTTGTTCTCCCCCACTTTGCCTATGGGGGTGTGTCAGACTCATATGCTATAGTCTGTGTAGGCTGTAGTGGGGTAGACAATATGGGGTACAACACTTTTAGGTTTTCCTACTTGTACCCACCTGCTTGCTAGTTCATTCATTCCTCGTTCTTTAACACATCTCTTTATCGTCCACTTCGCTGTTCACCTCGAAGGGGTTTGCACGCTACCACGGTCGGCAAAGCTTTCACTTTTCTCCACGCTACCACGCAGTGCCTACGCTCTTCCTTTCTCTTCCTTTTGCAGGGATGAATGAGGGTGTAAGGGTGGCTAACCTTTCTATTTCTTTCTGAATTCTAGATGAACAAGGATGATATAGATGCTGCTGTTGTCACCACTGGCGGAGTGGCAAGCGGCGGATTCGAGGGATTGGGGGGAGTGTGCGCGGGCAGTTATGTATTGTCACTACTTGTAACAACAATTCGACTCTCAATGCTCCTTCTCTCTGCCTCACTCTGACAATCCTACCTCACCCTACAGGGATGGTAAAGATGCTGTTGGAGTCTCCCCTAGAGGAGTGACAGGCAGCGGATTTGAGGGATGCGGGGGAGTGTACGCGGGAGACAGTGGACCTTATCAACCGCGTGCTTGATCTGAGGGACACGGAATTGAGGGATACTGGGAGTGTGTGTGTGTGTGCGGCTGTGCTGTCACTTTTCTCTAAGCTGCCTCTCAGAGACAGCGCTCCCTTTTTCTGTTCTCTCACCCCACATGGATGATAGAGATGCTGCTGGAGTTGCCACTAGAGGAGTGGCAAGCAGCGGACCTGAGGGACGCGGGGGAGTGTGCGCGGGAGACGCTGGACCTACCGGGTGCTCGACCCGAGGGACACGGATCTTACTCTGAGGGACCCGGGGAGAGCTGTGCCCGTGGCTCTGCTTTCTCTATGCTCTGGGCTGCCCCCCCGCATGATAACCCTGGTGACTTTTGAGTCGACTCAAAAGTCACCTCCGGGCTGCCCCCCCGCATGATAACCCTGGTGACTTTTGAGTCGACTCAAAAGTCACCTCCGGGCTGCCCCCCTGCATGATAACCCTGGTGACTTTTGAGTCGACTCAAAAGTCACCTCCGGGCTGCCCCCTTGCATGATAACCCTCCCTCTCTCCATTCCCTACCTCTGTTCCTATGAATTCTGATTTTACTGGGATGATAGAGATGCTGCTGGAGTCCCCACTGGAGGAGTGGCAGGCGGCGGATCGGAGGGATGCGGGGGAGTGTGCGCGGGAGACGGTGGACCTCATCAACCGCGTGCTCGAGTGTGTGTGTGGCTGTGTGCTTCCTTTTCTCCCTCCCTGTGACAATGACCCCTCTCCCTGTCTCTCTGCTTGTCTCTCTGTGAATTCTTGACCTCGCAAGCATGATAGAGATGCTCCTCGAGTCCCCCTTAGAGAAGTGGCAGGCAGCCGACCTGAGGGATGCGGGGGAGTGTGCGCGGGAGACGGTGGACCTCATCAACTGCGTGCTCGACCTCGCCAAGCTGCAGGCCGGCCGCCTGCAGCTCGAGGCTCTGCCGCTTTTCCTGCCCCGCCTTGTTCAGCAAGCTGTCATGCTTGCCGCACAAGACGCGTGCACTCGGGGTCTGGAAGGTAGGGGTATGCTTGTTGGAGTGGAAGTGAATGCAAAGGTACGAAGCTGTTCTGTGCAAAGAAGCTCTAGAGTATGCCAAGGGGTTGGACGGTACCTAAGATGTGGTTGCGCAAAGCTTCGAGCGCTAATTCTAAGGTGTTCTTAGATGAGGATCTCTAATTTCATGATATTCTCATGAAAAAAAAAAAAAAAAAAAAATCTGAAAAAAAATCAAATGTGACTCCATCCAGTATAGCTTCTCAATTTGGATCTCTAAAAACATGATTTTTTTTTTCATAATGGACATTCTCCATCTATGTCGTGCGTGGGATGCATGCAGTGTCATGCCATGTGGACCCAGGCTTGCCGGAAGTGCTGATGGGCGATCCAACCCGACTGCTTCAAGTCGTGGGCGAGATCACGTGTGAGTGGATTGGTTGTTGAGAGAAGGTGAGGTTGGAGAAAAGGAGCGTTGCTGTACTTGCTCAAGTGGGCTTAGGATGGCTATTGAGGTAGAAGGTAAGGCCAATAATTCCTGGTTGAGTTGAACAAGGTATTATTGCTGGATCACTAAACGTTGGGACTGTCTCCCAACCAGCAATAATATATTGTGGTCGAGGAAGCCCTTGGTATAGTAGTAGCTACACCTCTTATTCTAGCTTATATTTTTGAAGTGTATTAGAATGTTACAACACAAATCCACTCCCATCATACATAAGGGTCGATGGTAAAGTATACGAACAAGAAGGTATAAGAGAGGGTAGAGCCTAAGGAGGCGAAAGAGAGGTATGTTCATGTGTAAGGAGGGATTGAATGAAGATGTTAAGTGAGATGAGCTGATGAGTCAACTTCTCTCAGCGAAGGTGCCCTTCGTGAACCTAATCTCAAACGGAAAACTCACTGAGCTTGATATGCTTCGAGAGTCCATGAAATACAGCATCCTTTGTGAGGTGGGTATTGTTCGCATTGTCACATCAAAAGATGTGAAGTACTGGGAAGGACCAAGTACCTCAAATATAAAGGTTGTGCATCAAGCCTTCTTTTGACAAGAAATATCTTGCCCTTGCTTGGGCGAAGTTGGCCTCGCTGTATGGTGCGCAAAGGTATGCAATCGGTCATCACAAAAAACCTTGGTTTTTAAAGGGGGTTCGGAGGGGGGTACAGTTCAGGTGTTTTGGTTGGCGAAGTTCCAAAACAAAAGCGCGACCAATCACGGAATGAATTCGGACCGCTATTATTTGTCCGAGTCTAAATCGAATCCGCGACTCCGGTACATTGTTGTTTATTTGGATCGTGCCAAATTTGGGATCCATTTGTAATTGGTTTTGTTTGTTTTGACTTATGTAAAATGTGAGTGCTGGATAACTTAACAGGCCATTTAATTACAATATAAATGCATCACATATGATACTTATTAAGGAGATAGGTACTGTCCAGATGGAATGCCTTCACCACATGGACGTGACGGAGCAGCGCTTCCATCGGAATCACAGAGTATGCGTACATTCCTGTTGTCCACTTGAGGCGAAGGCATCCGGTTGCAGCATCCTCTCCGCTTGCGTTCCAATATCTAACGTAGGCTAGCTCCTCCCTCTCTCCACGTATTTTTGTATGGAACAACAGGAGCAACCTTGCATACCACTCCTCTCTCCGACCATGCCTTACACCCTCCACTGCAACATCCGAGTACCACGGCCTCTCAAAATAGTCAGGGGTCGCTCGAACGAAGTGAGAAACTCTTGAGAAGCTGGCATCATCTGCCGCTGGGATGGCCAACGATGCATGGGCCTGCATAACAATTGCAGTGTGTAATCAGTTTAGGGTTTGGGGCAAGAAAAAAATGATTGTTTGCTCACCTTTGCAGCATAGCAGATGCTGCACGGCATCCGCGATCCATGCGAGAGTGTGCAACTAATCTTGCCGCTCTCGGGGTAGTCGCACACCCAGGCGTACAGCAGTGGCCGCACTGTTTGCCAATCACCGAAAGGGTCCCTGAGACGGAAGCCGCTGCAAGGAACGGGTAGAGTGGTAACGTCAACAGCCATGACGACTCTGTGCATCAGCGAGGAGGGGCAAAGGGTAATGCAACATACAAAAGCGCTGCGCACACTATGCTGTGCACACGGTGACGACATAGCATGACGAAAATCGAGTACGGACCTGTCCATGCCATCCAGAAGCGGCTGCAGCACGGTGAGGACGCATCGCTGGAAGAGCATCACCTTTTCAACAGCAGACATTGCCGAAGGGGGGATAGGAAGGAGAGCAAGTAGCGTGTGCCCGGCTTTCCCCCATCGCTTGGCCTGGGAGATGTTGGCAAGCGTCATCATGAGCGGCCACGCCTTCTTCCGGCCGTTGTTGCTCATGTGCGTCACATCCGAATATAGGATGATACCCCCCACGACTTCGGACCATCCGAAGTGTTCCTGCATGCACGACAAAGACGGAAAACCCCCACGGTCAAACACCACCAAGGTAATGTGTCGCCTGGCGGAGTAAGCATGGTACATAACACTCCCCACTAACATGACGCACTGAAGATGCTCCCTACACATCAGCGCGTCAACGGAGGACGGCGCACGCGTGTGGTTTTGGGTGGCAGCGGGGTATTTACATACCTGAGCATCGTTCCACCACGTTCCAGTTTCTGGCGTGGTATAGCGACGCTCGCCTGTGCCATGGTCCTCATCGACACGAGCCTTGAGCTTGAAGCCGGGCGCGTTGTTGGTGTGCCCAAACAGTTCAGCAAAAGCCTGGAGTACGGCATCAAGAGCGGGGGAGAACCAAACAGGGGTTTAGTGGCGGGAGCGGGGAAGGGTCGGATCGCACACATGGACCAAATGGAGGCGGAATCCGCATTTCGCAGCCACGCATCCACGGCCGGCTTACCTGCGCAGAGTTCTGGAAGAGGAGGAGTTGTGGAGGATGACCCTCAATCTCGAAGGTCGCCACTGACCATCCGCGATTGAGCCCTACCAAGCGCTCCATCTCGAACCTCTCCAGATCCTTGCAGTTCCGGATCTCTGAGATCACAAGAGGCGCAAGGCCGGGCTCCACCACGAGCTGAAGCAGGCCATTGATGTCAATCTCCGCCATGCCCATTCCGCCATTTACACGCCTCACGAAGTGCAGCAGCTTCAACGCAATCGGATTGAGGGGCGTCGCATTGCTCTCCCCGGAGATGATTGTCGGCGGGGCCGCGTGAATCACTCCAGGGCGGCACCCCGGATCCGCACTCGTGTCATCTGAAGGTGTTCCGGGTGGCGGTTGATGCTCAGATTCAGAAGCCCCCACGTTCCCAGCCGAGGGTGTTGCGTCATCTTCAGCTTCATGCACGCGAGGAGGACCATTCACAGCGTCGGTGTTGGACGCATTAGACGCGGTAGGTGAAGCGGGAGCAGCGGGAGCGTCCGACAGAATCTCTTGCACGAATAGCAGTGTGTGTAGTCCGGCGGATGGTGCAGATTGCGAGGGCCTTGCCAGGGCGGAAAGGCCTTGGCAAGGGGTCCGCCGTGACTTGTGACCGCCATAAACTTGGGCGTTGGGGAACCATCTATTGCAAAACTCGCAGACGACGCCAGGTAAGGAGCCCATGCGGTACGGATCTATCTAAGTGTTGAGGAATGGCCTGTGAAGCAACGAGCGTCGTGGGAAGCTTGAGAAGGCATTAAGTACTCCGTGCAAGAAGGCTGGTAATGCAACACGGTCATCGCCAAACCGCGCACTGTTCAAGGCGGCTTGTATCACTGCACGACTGGCACTTGAGCGGGCAGCTTATGTTTGGACGTGCCTAACGATGTGCGCGCCGCGCGGTCGTGACAAGGCGCATGGAGCAGCGGAGAATGCGCTTGATTCTAAGACGGTAGGTCTTGTGTGTGCGTTGCGAGCTCGGTGAGAAGGACGTGCCTGTGGATTCACGCACTCTTGGTGCGTGAGAGTCGAGTGGGATGAGGAAGAGCGGGAAGAGATCCGTTTGGATTTGTAGTTCAGTTGCGAATTGTTATACGGGGGAGATCGCGCTCACGTTAGTGAGCTCACAGTGGTGAGCTCGACAACGGACAAAATACAGCGCAGGATATTACATTGTACAATTGCATTTAATCTATACACTAAACTCGTTGATGATAACTACTACACGGTCACATGAAAATGCCTGCTCGAGATCCACCCCTAGTTGACAACGTGACATTCTAAAAACCATACAAGATCTCTAGTGTGGTCTGGCAACATACGGGAAGTACACAAGAACTTCGTGCCCTCACGATAACGCAACGCCGATTGTGCGTTGTGGCTCTACTTCATACCCCTTTGAGGCACCTACTTGAATGTCCGTGCAAGGTTAGATGACAATCCAACACCGTACCACAACGGATTCGCCTGGTCGCGCAAGCCTTGTATGGATGCAAACGCAGCACCGTCGCCAAACTAAACAGCGATGTCGATTGCGCATCAACGCTCGTGCGTTGGGCCTGTGCTTCATCCCACACCCTCAATGCACCTGGCGGAGGGGCCATGCAAGAATGGAGCCCCATCCAACACCATTCCACAACGGATTCGCCTGGTCGCGCAAGCATTGTATGGATGCGAACGCAGCAACGTCGCCAAACTAAACAGCGATGTCGATTGCGCATCAACGCTCGTGCGTTGGGCCTGTGCTTCATCCCACACTCTCAATGCACCTGGCGGAGGGGCCATGCAAGAATGGAGCCCCATCCAACACCATTCCACAACGGATTCGCCTGGTCGCGCAAGCATTGTATGGATGCGAACGCAGCAACGTCGCCAAACTAAACAGCGATGTCGATTGCGCATCAACGCTCGTGCGTTGGGCCTGTGCTTCATCCCACACTCTCAATGCACCTGGCGGAGGGGCCATGCAAGAATGGAGCCCCATCCAACACCATTCCACAACGGATTCGCCTGGTCGCGCAAGCATTGTATGGATGCGAACGCAGCAACGTCGCCAAACTAAACAGCGATGTCGATTGCGCATCAACGCTCGTGCGTTGGGCCTGTGCTTCATCCCACACCCTCAATGCACCTGGCGGAGGGCCCATGCAAGAATGGAGCCCCATCCAACACCATTCCACAACGGATTCGCCTGGTCGCGCAAGCATTGTATGGATGCGAACGCAGCAACGTCGCCAAACTAAACAGCGATGTCGATTGCGCATCAACGCTCGTGCGTTGGGCCTGTGCTTCATCCCACACCCTCAATTCACCATGTCGAGGGCCCACGCAAGAATGGAGCCCAAGCCAACACCACACTACATCTCCATTCCAGTTGGCACTAGTACATGTCGTGCTTGAACAACTTCCAACGACCAGTATCCGTCGCCCATTCTCAATGTGTGCTCAGTATAGCATTCCATAGTCCACGAGTTGGAAGCACAAAGAGTGCGTCCTAAGCCCCATGCACTCACTAAACTTCACACCATATGACA